AAGACCAAGTCACCCCGCCTCCTCCCTCCCACTCCTCCCCGGCCCCCCTCTCCAGCGCAAACTCCTCCGCCCCCACCGCCCGCCCCCCCCGCGTCCAATCCGCCCTCTCCACCTCCCCCTCAATCTGGCGACACAGCGCCCAAAAGTGGCTATCATGCTCCGAGTGCACGTTGTGGGCCAGCTCGTGGCACAGCGTCTTGCGGATGGTGCGGTAGTCGCGCCAGCCGTCGTAGGCGTCGGTGCGCAGGCGCAGCTCGACCACTTCCCCGCGGTTGCGGTTGAGCCCCAGGATGCGCGTCACGCCCTCGTGGCTGGCGGCGGTCGCGCTGGCCGGGTCCATCTCCGTGAGGAGCCCCACGGAGAACTGGTGCTTGCGCATGGCGGCGCGGATCCCCGGGTCGGCTTTGAGGCGCTCGAGGAGGGCGAGGCTTCGGGAGGGGTGGGGGAGGTGTGAGAGGGCGCGGAGCGTGTGGAAGGTGTGGGTGAGGTCGGCGGTCGTGCGTTGTTGGGGGGCGGGGAGCCGGCTGTAGCGGGCGCGGGCGAGGGCGCGCTTGGCTTGCCAGGTCTCGGCGGCGATGCGTTGGTCTTGGAGGGTGGTGAGGGCGGAGGTTTGCGGGGCGAGGAGACGGAGGGTGGTGTGGTTGAGGGTGGAGAGCGGGAGGGCCGAGTCATCCGAGGGGGTGTAGATGGATTTGAGGCCCGGTTGGCGCTTCTCTAGGAGGGCTTTGGCTTTGGACCAGTCGTAGGAGGGGAACTCGAGGGAGAGGGTTAGGAGGAGGTGCTCGAAGGTGTCGGTTGGGGAGAAGGTCCATTTTTGAGTGTGCTTTTCAGGAGGGAATTTGAGGGTTATCTCTACAGAGGCCTCGTCGGCCTCGAGACTCATAGAGTCGGGCTGTGAGTTCGTAGTTGGCTCTGCGGAGTCCATGATGAACGATAGGTTCGGGCCTGGTTGACTTCTTCTTGTCTATCTCGGATGATGCGGGACTGTATGTGCTTGGGAAGAGTTCGTGTCTTTGTTCGATGAGTTGCCGTGGAAGTCTTGATGTAGACTGCAATAAGTCGCAACTCTTGTAGTTCTCTAGCGCGGTGATAGGTAGGTGGTTTGCGCTTCAACACCTTGGTATTATTTACAGTTGGGGTTTGGTGGAAGAGGCTATGACATTTAAATGGATGGGTTATGGTACGAGAGTCATAGTTCGAAATCTGGATTAAGAGTTACGATATCAATTTGTGGCCTGGTCATTTGTAGTACGTTGTTGTCAACTATGAGTTGGGCGAATGTTCGAGACGGGATTGCTTGCTTTGTCATCTCAATCGCCATCACGCGGCTGTTGCTAGGTGGCAACTCCGATAATCTTTTGCGCCACCTGCGCTGCCACTCTTGAAGTTTAAAACGCCGAAACCAGTTCATCTCAGCATGGAACAGATAAGATGACAACTCATCTCGAAAGTCGTTAAACTTAAGTTTGGGTTAGTGTATTGGTCTGGGCGCTCCCACTTGGTGGACTGTTCTCCGTATTTATCAAGTCCGAACTTTACCGCCTTTTCGGCGCTTTTTCGGCACGCACTCCCAATTAAGGGATTTTGCTCTCTTATACCTGTAGTTTTTTAGTTGGTTAAGGTACTTCGTACTTTACCATTTTTCTACCCCTTCAACCCCACCTACCCCCCAAGCTCGGAACTTTCTGTGACGTGCGTGAAGTGCAAGCCACTCCCGATGCCGTGGTGCTCTGAGACGGCGCCAAAATCGAAACAAGGAACGATCCACATGGTGGTGTTTGAGAGGCTCGTCACAATTACTTGGCTTGCTTGGTCGCCGAATGGGGTAAGAATTCCTCACTCAGTTCGATCCGTTTTTCATCTCAAGACCCTGAACGATCTACGCAGTGCGGGGCATGGAACGGCCGCCAACGCCCACCGCCAACGGTTTGCTGCTCGTTGGTGTGCAATGAGACGCAAACCTGCCGTGTTACCCGCGCCGCTGTTAGCTTGGGTTGCTGATGGCATGCCTTCCTTTCCGTCCCGTCGTGTTGGAGAATGTGGGTGCCAACAGTGCTCCCATTTACCTCGTATCTCGCTGTTTGCCGGTACCTGCATCCACACATGCACTGCAAATACGCACAGGTTTTACCCTCTCGGTTGGGTACGCTTAGCTTAACCGGGTTTAGAGCCTTCACGAACACCGACAGAAAGAGAATGTGGGGCTCTTGGGGGTCAATTTCCTCTAGCATGTGCCGCCAATCAGGACAGGCATGTTGGTCGATTCTGGGGTATCCAAGCACGAGCAGCGCCGCTAGTCTCGCTTTGGGACCTCCCTCGACGACCGCCCCTTCTCCCTTCGTGTTTCTGGTCGATGAGTGAGCTCTCCTTCCTTGAATTCCTCTTTTCCTTCAAGCCCGTTTCTCGTTTTAATCCTTCGAACACTCGCTCTCGTTGGATCTGAGGAAGGAATCGCATTGCGCATTTCCTTCTGAATTCTTGTCGCTCCTTTGACATAACATTTCGGTTTCTTTAATTTGCGCATTTGCTGCCGCCGCCCGCTTCCCTATTATTTTCGAGTTCAACGCCACCCTTCTGCATATTGCCTTTTTCGACCTTGACAGATCGTCTCTGATTCAGCCATGCTTGTATGTGCCACCATGGGGCGCCGCCCTCGTTATTTTATATGCGCCCGATGTGTGCTGCAACTTGTTGGATTGTTGGATCGCGATGCTAATATCTCATGCAGCTTCACTCAGCGCTCGTCGCGCTTGGCGCGACCGTCGTCGCGGCCGTGCAGCCATTGGAGGTCAAGGGACGGGACTTTATCAACCCCACGACCGGCAACCGCTTCCAGATTGTTGGTGTCGCCTATCAGCCGGGTGGTTCTGCGGGCTACGACAAGGAGGCCGGCCGCGACCCTCTCAGCGACCCGGATATCTGCATGCGTGATGCCGCCCTGCTGCAGATTCTTGGCGTCAACACCATCCGCGTCTACAATGTGAACCCGGACGTCAACCACGACAAGTGTGCTAGCATCTTCAACGCCGCCGGCATGTATATGGTTCTCGACGTCAACTCGCCCCTTGTCGGCGACTCCCTGACCAGCTGGAACCCCTGGGAGTCGTACTATGCCGCCTACCTCAACCGCACTTTTGCCGTTGTCGAAGCCTTCAAGGACTACCCCAACACCCTGGCCTTCTTTTCCGGCAACGAGGTCCTCAACAACGAGGATACCGGCGCCACTGTTCCCCCCTACATGCGCGCCGTCACTCGCGACATCAAGAACTACGTCAAGAAGCACGTTAAGCGCCCCATCCCGGTCGGCTACTCCGCCGCCGATGTTCGCTCCATCCTGTTCGACACGTACAACTACTTCCAGTGCTCCCTCGATGGCGATGACGGTGATATGAGCATGGGCGACATCTTCGCCCTCAACAGCTACAGCTGGTGCGGCGAGAGCAGCTTCGAGAAGGCCAAGTATGACCAGCTGGTCAGCGGCCTCAAGGGCGCCACCGTGCCTGTCTTCTTCTCCGAGTACGGTTGCAACACACCCTCCCCGCGTGTCTTCACCGAGGTCGGCACCATCTATAGCTCCAAGATGTCCGACGTCTTCTCCGGCGGCGTCGTCTACGAGTACACGCAGGAGGACAACAACTACGGCCTGGTCGACATGAAGACCGACGGCTCCGCGAAGCTCAGGAGCGACTTCGTCTCCCTCAAGAACCAGTACAGCAAGCTTGACTTTGCCGAGATCCAAGGCCAGAAGCCTGCCACGACCTCCAACGGCAAGCCCCCCGCCTGCGAGACCAAGCTCATCACCACCAAGGGCTTCAACTCCAACTTCACCCTCCCCGTCCTGCCCCCCGGAGCCCAGGAGATCATCGACAACGGTGTCAAGCCCACCCCCAAGGGCAAGCTCGTCAAGATCACCGACTGGAAGGTCAAGTACACCGTCAAGAACCCCGACGGCTCTACCATCACCAACTTGTCCGTCAAGCCGCTGGCGGATGACGACATCAACAGTATGCCTCCCCCTCTTTGTGTGACTTGATTGAATTACCTCAGTTTACTGATAATTTCACCCCACCAGGCCCCGGCTCCAACACCGACTCCGGCACCGACACCAGCACCGCCGGCACCCAGACGTCTGATGCCAGCACCGATGGCACCAAGACCGATGCGCCCACCCCCAGCGACAACGCTGCCGCCGGGTCCGTCGCTGCCGTCCTGCCCGCTGCCGTTCTGGGCGCCTTTGCCGTCCTGGCTGCCCTCTAAGCTCGGAAAGCTTGCTTACCTTAGCTTGGGTGTGTTGCCGCCGCGGCGGGACTGCAGGTGGGGGTTGAGAAAGATGAGATGATGGGTCGTTGTTAACTTACCTATCTTAATGGCTAGGGGTTGTATATATCCTGCAGGGGAAGGGAAGAGAGGAGTGCCGACGAGGAATTGGGTTTGATTTTGTTGTGCGTTGTTCGCTGCTGTTGCTGTCTTTGGTTTTGACACGCGGTTTCTGTCATCATGATCATTTATGATATGATACCATTTGTTGCGCTTGTTCTTCCGTTTGCCCTACGGGGCTGCCTGCGTGCCTGTTTGTGCGGTTGTATATAATCGGGGGGGTGGAAAGGTGATACAGAGTTTAGAGAACGGCATGGGTTGTTGCTGGATAGACAGATAAGTCGAAAGATGTTTCTGGTATCCATGCCTTGTAATACCCTTTCAATCTGTGGAAGAATTGCGCGCTGTTTCACTTCAAAGTATTACCCGGTTTGCTTTTTACCTATGAGATACACCGCTCCAGCCCTTCAAAGCAAGAACTGAGATTTGGGATCAATTTTTGGTGGATACCTTGGACTGATAGTCTTTGAAGACAACTGCCCGATGACCAGGTGCAATCCACCCTGTCTGTAGGTTCAACAATATCCTCTCCAACGTCCACATGCTTGTTATTCCATGAAGTAAACAGAGCAAACAAAACATAACACTTGAAAAGATGACACGGCGTGGCATGGTAGGCATCTGAACTGCTGTATTATACTTTCTATTGGGAATCTCTCTTCCCGTGGGTAAAATGCGCCGTATATAATCATCAGACGGCCAGGTGAATAACGTCAGTTCTACACCCCCCAGATACCACCACCCCCTTAAGCCTTAAACTCCTCCGCCTTGCTCTCCTCCCACTTGCCAGGGATAAGAGCCAGGGGCACGATGCCGCTGACGTGCATCTCGGGGCCAAAGATCTTGGCGTTGAGGCCGAGCTCCTGGGTCGCCGCCTTCATGTTCTTGAGACCCTCCTGGTAGTTGGGGCCGGCACGGCGCACCCAAATCTGAACGTTGTGCTCGTTAAGCGTGTTGGCATACTCGCGGAGCGCCTTGATGACGCCCTTGAATGTGCTGGCAACGTTGGTGAAGTTAGCGATACCGCCACCGATGAACAGGACCTTGCCCTTGGAGTTCATGGGCGCCCGGAGCATCAGGTCGAGCACGGTCCGTGCATAGTGGTATGTCTGAGACTCTGTGGGAGCACCGGAGTACTCGCCGTAGTTGGCCAGCTCGTCAGCGAAGCCGGCCGAGGCAATGGCATCGGCGTACACGACCGAGGCACCACCACCGGCAACAAGGGTCCAGATCCTGCCGTTCGGGTTCAGGACCGTCAACTTGAGTGATGCGCCGGTCTTAGCATCGAGCTCGGCAATGTAAGCCTCCTCCTTCGTAAGCTCACGACCGAAAGGCGCGGGGAACTCAATCGGCGGGCCAGCATCAATGTTGACGGTGCCGTTGCTGCTCGTGGGGGCGGTAATGCCCAGAGCCGCCGGGGACCTTGCGATAGCCCACTTTACACCGCACTCGAAGTCTGCTGTTTGATCGAGCTTGGCCGCGAGATCGAGGAAGTGAACCGACGCGGAGGTGGCATCCTCGTTCGGGATCACGACGAGAGGGTTAATCTCAAGGTATGTGAACTGGCAGTCAACGTAGACGGCATAGAGGCGGGTAACTGTACGAAGGTAAGCGGTTATACATGAAATAAGGGGTTTTAAGGAAGACTGACTGAAGTCAACAAGGACGTTGTGGACGCCCTTGGGGACCTTGCTCAGGAGAGTGGAAGCGATTTCCTCGTTTGAAGGGTATTGTGTAAGGTCGACGGGAATGAGGAGCTTCTCCGCCTTCGCATCGACATCGCCGACATCAACACCACCCTCGTGGGTGAAGAGGATCCAGTCGCCCTGAGATGATTGTCAGCACTGAGTGTTTTGTAAGTTTTGGAGGTGTTATGCGTGTTTCCGGGTCTGTGGGCCGGTTATCCACATCACAATGCGGTTTAGCCTCCGTTCGTCCGTGACGGCTCGGCAGCATTTTCCAAGCGGGTGTTGAAAACCCCCGTCCAGAATGCGCCCGTTTGCACAGGGATTTCCGAGTATAAAGCCTCAGAAACACCCGCCGGATCATGCATATGTTGCATTTTCCTCCCACATCATCTTCATCTTCCACTCCTTATCGGTATGCGATCCTTTACACCGTCCCCAATTAGGTGCTTGCACTCGCAAGTGGGGGTTCGTTCGTGAATCAAATCTCGTCTACCGCCAAGAACGGGCTGAACTGAAATCGTTTACTTACATCGCGAACTGAGTTGATCTATCGAGGCGTTAGCCATGGGTTCGACGATTTCACACCTGGACAGGGCGTAACTCACGTTGATGTAGTACTCGGTGCCGTCGGGATGCGGCACAAAGGGCTCGACGAGGAATTGCCGGAGAACGCCCTCTGTGTGCTCAACCTTCTGCACCTTGCCGGCGCGCTCAGCAACCCACGCCTTCGCCTCGGGCCAGGTCTTGTTGAGAGCAAGCAGGCCGCTCTTGCCACGACGCTTGATGAGCTGATCTGGCTTGGCGACGAACTTGGCGCCCTGGTGCAACAGCCACGGGTATGTGATCTCGGCTTGGTCCAGCACGGCGTTGATGTCCTTGTCCTCGGGGAAGTGAAGGGATGCAAGCCTGGGGGGCGCGTTGTGCTTGGTCGGGGGCGGGAGAGTGCTGGGCTTGATCACCGGAGCACGGGTGAGGTGGTAGTTGATGATGGCTTTGCCATCGGCCTCGGTGATGCTCTTCGCGGACATCTTGCTAGTAAGTGGGCAACCTTGCTCTTCTCTTCAGTCCTTGCCGAGTTGGCTGTTTCTACTCAGGCCGTCAGCGTGGTTCTCGAACAGCTCCCCAGCAGTGCGCGCGAGTTCGCGGGTAGCCGAGTACGGAGATTGGCAAGAATCAACCGGAGATGGCGATGCTGTTCTAACCTCAAGTGAGGGGCAATTTACCTGGATGGGAAGTCTCAAGGGATAGGATTGCTGGAAAGTCGACGCGTGTACGCGGGGGGGATTCGCAGCAAGTGAAGTGAGGGAGGAAAAGGAAGTGGATGAGGGCGAGGATTGGTGTCGAGATGCAGCTCCCTTGGGAAAAAGACGAAGACCGACTCCGAACCTTGGCTCGGGCAGAACACTCAGGGCAATAGCTTGCACACGGGGACCACAGTATCTCACGGGTTGGGGGGGCGGCCAGAAAAAAAGTCCAGGTACCAGTGGTGCCCGCCTGCCCAAAACCATTGGGGTTACTCAAGCGGGGCAGTGCGCTTGGGGCGGTCAGCATTACCAGGTACTGGTACCTAGGAGGATATCGGAAGACTTGGCCGCCGACCACCTGGCACCTCCCTGACCCCTCGATTCTACCCCGCTCCTGCATCTTGGCCGCAAAGATACCCGATGCCAGCTCAGGTCGTCCCTTCCCCTTTGGTGATGCCCGACTCAGTTTCATTTCAAGTTATTTCCGCTTCCCTTTGGAACTTGGACTGGTCATTTGCCATCCACGTTTAATTGTGCCTACAAGTGTGGCATTAGCTTTCCGGCCGGACGCAAATGGGGGTCTTCCGGCCGCGGGCGCACCATCGGAGCATTGCCCGGGCGTGTGCCCGCGTCCGCTAAGGGTTCGGAATGAGAGGAATGGAAGCTACTAGTTGCTTTTTACGAATTCTCCACTTCTGCGAGGTCATCCCAAGGGTTTACTACGCGTCGGTCAGGCATCTTACTCTCGTGTGCCCAACTTGGGCGCGCCGAACCTCTCGTTGTACTCGGCCCCCCGGCGCCCGACGCCCGGCCGCCGGGCCAGAGTCGCCGGGCGATAGCAATTGCCCCGCGATAACCGATCGGACGCAATGTCGCTTTCCTTTCTGTCCCAGTTCCGTGTGTCAACAAGCAGTTGACTTGGATCTTTGTCTGTAGGGGACACCAAATGAATACCAGTACGTTACCGGGCAACCCGGTCAGCAATCCGGCCGTAGAGGTTGTCGGGGAAATGAGCTCTGCCCCTCTGCCCCTCTGCCTCCCGCAACTTTCGCAAATTTTTGGGTATCGGAGGGGTATCGGACGACTTGGTGGCGGATGTACTGGTACTTCGGATGCCAAGTGCTCTCGGGACCCCACCTTCTGCCAGCGATATGGCAGAAAAGCTCAGGCCATGCCTGATCGGGTGCTAGTCCTTTAGGCGATCGGACAAGGGTCCAAAAGAGTTGGGGAACTGCCACCATTTGTTGGACCGTTGACCCGGTCCTCATCCAATGAACGGCGAGCAACAATTCTTGGGGATTCCAGGGCAGGAGGGCTAGGTCGAGTTTCCGGTTCTCGCCAGGGCACCTTCACTAAATTCGACAGCTGCGGAGCTCTTGCGCCTACCCCGAGTGTGGTGCTTCCCGACGAGGGACGAAAAAGGGCCCGACAAAAACCTCTGCCCCAAAATTGCTCCCCGCCTGCCTTCGCATTTCCGCGAACCCCCATCATTCTCCCTCGCCCCGACTCAGGCTCTTTCGCAAAACCTCGTCGCCCTTTTCCCCCTTTCCTAACTAGATCCAGACACACACCGACGAGTCTCGAGTCGAAAACACACATCACAATGGCAACCCCCAGCAGCAGTGCTAACGGCCTTAAGCCGACCGGCGGCCTGTCTGCTAACGACAACATTCGCCGGTTTGCTGCGCCCAGTCGGCCGCTGAGCCCGCTTCCCGCCCACGCGCTGTTCAACGACAAGACAAGATGCTTCGTCTACGGCCTACAGCCGCGTGCCGTGCAGGGCATGCTCGACTTCGACTTCATCTGCAAGCGGGCGACACCGTCGGTCGCTGGTATTATCTACACATTCGGCGGTCAATTCGTCAGCAAGATGTACTGGGGCACCAGCGAGACGCTGCTCCCCGTGTACCAGCAGGTCGAGAAGGCAATGGCCAAGCACCCCGATGTTGATACGGTCGTCAACTTTGCTTCGTCTCGTAGTGTCTACAGCTCGACCCTGGAACTCATGGAGAACCCCCAAATCAAGACCATCGCTATTATTGCCGAGGGTGTCCCGGAGCGCGTAAGCGACCCCTCATTGTCATACTCGGCGTTTATTCAGGTTGCTAACCGTCGGTATTACAGCGTGCCCGTGAGATCGCGCATGTTGCGCAGAAGAAGGGTGTCACAATCATTGGCCCTGCTACCGTCGGTGGCATCAAGCCCGGCAGCTTCAAGATTGGTAACACTGGTGGTATGATGGACAACATCGTTGCTTCCAAGCTCTACCGCAAGGGTTCGGTCGGCTACGTCTCCAAATCTGGTGGCATGTCCAACGAACTGAACAACATCATTTCGCAAAACACCGACGGTGTCTACGAGGGTGTGGCGATTGGTGGTGATCGGTACCCCGGCACTACTTTCATCGACCATTTGCTGCGCTACCAGGCCGACCCTGACTGCAAGATCCTCGTGCTTCTTGGCGAAGTCGGCGGTGTTGAGGAGTACAAGGTGATTGAGGCCGTGAAGCAGGGCGTTATCACCAAGCCCATTGTGGCGTGGGCCATCGGTACCTGCGCGAGCATGTTCAAGACGGAGGTTCAATTCGGTCACGCCGGTTCGTTCGCCAACTCGCAGCTCGAGACGGCGGCCATGAAGAACCAGAGCATGCGGGATGCCGGTTTTCATGTCCCCAGCACATTCGAGGACATGCCGGCGCTCCTCAAGTCTGTCTACGACAAGCTCGTGAGCCAGGGCACCATTAAGCCCCAGCCCGAGCCTGTTGTGCCCAAGATCCCCATCGACTACTCGTGGGCCCAGGAGCTTGGCCTTATCCGTAAGCCGGCTGCCTTCATCTCGACTATCTCGGATGATCGTGGCCAGGAGCTTCTATACGCTGGCATGCCCATCTCAGACGTGTTTAGGGAGGACATCGGTATTGGTGGTGTCATGTCCCTGCTGTGGTTCCGCCGCCGTCTGCCCGACTACGCCTCCAAGTTCCTCGAGATGGTGCTCATGCTCACAGCCGACCACGGCCCGGCCGTGTCTGGTGCCATGAACACAATCATTACCACCCGTGCCGGCAAGGACCTCATCTCGGCGTTGGTGAGCGGTCTGCTTACTATCGGTTCGCGGTTCGGTGGCGCGCTGGACGGTGCTGCCGAGGAATTCACCAAGGCTTTCGATAAGGGTCTCAGCCCGCGCGAGTTCGTCGACACAATGCGCAAGCAGAACAAGCTGATCCCGGGTATCGGTCACCGCGTCAAGTCGCGGAACAACCCGGATCTGCGTGTGGAGCTCGTCAAGGAGTACGTCAAGGCCAAGTTCCCCAGCTGCAAGATGCTCGACTTCGCGCTGGCGGTCGAGTCGGTGACGACGTCGAAGAAGGACAACCTGATCCTCAACGTGGACGGCTGCATTGCCGTCTGCTTCGTCGACCTCATGCGCAACTGCGGCGCCTTCAGCAACGAGGAGGCTGAGGACTACCTTAGCATGGGTGTGCTCAACGGCCTGTTCGTGCTCGGCCGCAGCATCGGTCTGATTGCCCACTACCTCGATCAGAAGCGCCTGCGCACCGGGCTCTACCGCCACCCGTGGGATGACATCACGTACATCCTCCCGAGCCTGCAACAGGCGGGCCCTCCGGGCACCGAGGGTCGCGTGGAGGTGCAGATGTAAGGGGCGTTTATTTTTAGACAAAGTTAGATGCAACGTTTTCTACGAGATTTGGGACAGGCTCTTCAACATGGGATGTGACATGATTTCCTCTTGCAGAGCGCCAGCAGGGCCCATCGGTGGCCCCGGCTCGTGGAGGGTAGGACAGGCCCGGATTAGTTCTAGAAATTTTAATCAGTGACTGAACATTTGTTGTCCAATGCTCTGTTTTTGTGCATGTCGAGTATCGTCGACGCTGGAGGGGTTGACTTGGAAGTATTGTACGTAAGCGGGAGGTATTCCCGGAAGCAGCACGCCTTTGCTGGCCGAACTGTTGAGATGCTCGAGTAGGACCCTTGTTTACTAGCGGGGAAATATTGGCGATGGCTAGATTCTTTTTCATTGAAAAACCCAATTCCAAGCGACCGCTGCGAAGGACTTTTGTGCATCATGCCGATTATCTAAGAGCCCCGGAATGAATACGGTAGTTAACTAAACCTGAAGCGTGACAAGGAGATGGACAGAGCGGGTGGGTTCATCAGGCCATGCCGGCGGGGCCATGGCGGGGCAGAAGGCGGTCGGACCGAGAAGTGGAACTGATAAGCTCTGAACCCATGTTCATGTTTCCCAGGCGGTGTAGGATGGCACAATATTTGACAAGCCCGCGCCGCATGGATACAACCCCGGTCTACCGGACCGAATCGGGAAACCTTGAACATTTTCCCAGTTTGTCGCCAACGTCGTCCCGAGCTGGAGGAGCTGTGCACCCCGCCACCACCAGAGAAAGCTACCAGTTGGGAGTCGGATTGGAACTGATACGGTCGATTTGGGATTGAGTATTGGCTCAGGTGAGTCGCTGGTTTATTGTGGATGTGATATGTGGGCGTGAGGTAGCTGATGCAATGCAATTGTCTACAGGATACCCACCGACCTTACACCTCTACGACGACTACGATACCCCGACGCTGTGCAGTCCATTCTTTACCCCAACACACATCTCACCTACCACCCTCGGTGGAACGACGAACGAACTAACCCCGAACCAAACACCCACCACCTCAAAAAATAAAATAAAATAGAAAGAAAATGTCCTACTTCCGCATCACCCTGCACCGCTCCGCCATCGGCCTCCCCAAGCGCACGCGCGGCGTGCTCGCCGCCTTGGGCTTGCACCGCCGCGGGCAGCTGGTGTTCCACCCGGTGAGCGCGCAGTTCGCGGGGGATGATCATGAAGGTGAAGGAGCTGGTGCGGGTGGAGGAAGTCGAGCGGGCGCAGACGCGGCGCGAGGTGTACGAGGCGCGGCGGCCGGAGCCCGGGTTCTGGGTCAGGAGGGGGCGAGGGCGTTTAGGGGGGAGGGCCGGGCGCGGGGTGGGGAGGGGGAGAAGGGGGAGGTGAGGTTATGAGGGGGTTGGTTTGGTTGGTTGTTTTGGGGGAGAGAAAAGGGGGTTATGAGTTGTTGGATGGAGGGGATGGGTTTTGACACTTGTAGTCTTAGGCTTTGGGAGGAGAGCAAGCCGATCCGATCAGGGGATGGATTAAAGTCGGCAGGTGGAAAATACAGCCGCTGTCCGTCCTCGTGTAGGTTACTGTATGACAAAACAATCTAGAGAACAACACAACCGTGGCCGTATTCGAAGAGATAGTTTGCCACGAGTCACAGTACCCACGCCGACTTATGGTCATCTTTGGTCTTCAGCAGCACTCCTAGAAAAAACACCGGGAACCACGGCAGAAAAACACAAGGCTAGGCTCAAACTGGCTCCAGCAGACAGCCACACTTTAGTTGCCAAATTGGACATGAAAAATGCCATTTTGTTACGCTATGTATTACCCCCGAAAAGCAAATAAAAGACAAACGCTGTACGATACACCAGAAAAGCCCGCGGTCCATCATCCTGCCAGCAGCCTTAGTCCCAAGTCCAGGGGCACAGCAGCGCCAGCCCCAAACCCAGCAATATCTCAGAAGCAACCAAACTCAGTCAGACGAGCCAATGTGTCAAAAGAGGACACGACTTGTTCGGATAAAGTTCGATCCGGGTTCCATCCTCAGGGAGATCATGGGTGGACAGGCAGATAAAATTGAGGACAAACGCGCTGCGTCCGCCGCTGTCCGGGTTCAAGGACGCCACAGAGATCGGTGGGCCGCTTTTCTGGGAGTAGAGAAAGAGGACTAGTGACTCTCCAACTGCGCCCTGTAAGCGGCGCCGGGAGTCTCGTACTGGCTGGCAAAGTACTTGACGCCGTGTCGGGAGAACCAGCTTATGAACTTGAGAAGCTCTTCGCGGAGACGGTTGACGGATTGCTGGTCCATGTTTGTCTGCGCGATGAGCTCCGGCAGGGAAACTGGCAACGGTTGTTAGTCGTGGATTGCATGTCAAAAGAGGGACGGTGAATCATACCAAGAAGACGCGCCAGATGCTCTGCGCCATAAGTATCAGCGGCACTCTTGTGTTTGCCATCTGCGTCCGCTTGGTTCCAGAGCTTGTGCATCTCATGATATTGTCCGCGCTCGAAACTACGATGGGTCTCATTAGCGGTGGATGGGGAGCAAGAAGGGAGACAAAGGCTCACTGGTACAAAAGTATACGGCCGAGGGCCTTGTCGAAGTACTCGCGGAGACCGGCGATTGCTTCTTCGAGAATGTCCAGAGAGGCGCTGCCTTCCTGTCGATTGGGCTTCTCATAGACAAGGTAGTCATTCAAGATCTCGTTGACAGGGTGGGCGTGTGGAAGCGGTACCACTTGATCGTTTTTGGTGACATTCTCCCAATCGTCGACGAGAATCGACTTGAGATGATCTGGCAAAGGAATCTTAATCGAAGGCCGGTGGTGGAAATTATCCTCCTATGGCTTATTAGCATCGTCCTGCCAATCGGTCGCTGAAGCAGAAACAATTAAACATCTTGTCCGCTTGGACTCGGCACGGTCAAAAGAGAAGAACGAAAAGCAAACTCCAAAGCAGAGCTGGAAAGGGCTCGCTTTTCGTCCTGGATTATCGAACGCCCACTTGGACCTGACAACTGCCTTCAAAAGCAGGCGGCGCTGGCGTACAAACATACAATATGGGGACTGTTCGGTCAGTTTGGCGACCGAGGGTGCTCTGGTCAGCTATGCCGCCTTGATTCTGGGGTGACGCCGACCGATTCAGGGGAGCGTCTTCTATCCCTTCATTACATAGCGGTTGTCGAACGTTTTCCTGCCATTGTGATCAAGATACTTCGAGGTCCTGATGGTTGGCAGCCGAAGTAAGTTGTCCCGCGCGAGCTTGGGCTCTTTCCACGCAGCCTCCTCCAAAGATGGCGTAGGCAGCCGGGAGTTCTTGGCCTCTGGAGACGTCGGGGGCGTGGTGAGTGTCACGCTTTTGGTGCCGTCTGCCGTCTTGTGAAAAATGGTGATTTTTTGGGCGGACTTCGGAACGTCCCTGGGATTCTGACCGTCGCTGAGGGGCTGACCGTCGCTGAGGGGCTGACCGTCGCTGAGGGGCTGACCGTCGCTGAGGGGCTGACCGTCGCTGAGGGGCTGACCGTCGCTGGGGTTTTGAAGGCGGACATTCTTCTGAACGCGGCTAGATTTCCGGGCGCGGGTAGGCTTCCGGACGCGATCAGGATTTTGAATGCCGCTCGTCTCATGCACGGGGGCGCTGTTTTTGATGTGATTGCGCCGTCGGCCGTTGCAGTGCTTGATGCAGGGTCTCCAGGGGGTGCAGCAGGGAGAACCGGCTCCGGTGGTGGTAACTTGGTCCTTCATCGTAGTAGGAGGTATGGAGTGAAGATGATTGCGATGAATTTCGAATCAAGTACTCAAAATCAAGCAGAGCGTGGGTGGGCGGGAAGATGTACAGCAGAAAGACGATGTAGCCGGTTGATTGTGTGGCTTCAGTAGGTCGCTCTTGGGTGGCCTGGAGGAAAAGAGGATGAGGAAAGGCGCCCCGACTGTGGGCAATATAAGGCTGCTGGGCGTAAACTCTGAGTGCGGAGGGGGTTGTGCGGGTCGAAATTTATCGGTCGAAGTGGCAAAGCCTAGGTGAACAGTGGAATGTCGTAAGATGCCGTCTGGCCAGCAGACAACAGGTGTGACAGTGATTGGTTTGAGTATGGCGACAGTCTGGGAGGTTTCCGGTTGTTGCCCCAGGGACAATTGTGCCGCGGTTGCCGTCGGAGGTTGTCCTGATTCTTTGCTCCGCACCTACCTACGTAGCGTCTGACGAGTTGTTCCGGGATATTGTTCGGGTGTTCCTCCTGCGTGTTGCTCGCGATCTTGAAGGCGGGGAAGGCGGCCGCGAATCTTCCCAAGGCATCTTCCCAAAGCATCCCAAAGCATCCCTATCTGCCAGAGCAATCCTATTCACGTCCAGGAACAATACATGCACTCGCATGTAAAAGTTCTCAACAATATCAAATCCAAAGAGCAAGATGGCGCATCAAAGTGCTCTGCAACCAAACCGAAGACGACAATAACAACAATAAGGACAATAGCAAATCAAGCATATCGACTCACCTGCTCAAGTTCATAGTCCCTGGCCCTCCTCGGGCCGCGGCCACTGGTCGTCGTAGTGCCCGCAGTACGCTCTTCACTGCCGCGGGCGGAACTCATGTCCGAACCGTTTGCTGCCCGAGCAGCGGCCCCCCCCTTCTTGGCAGTCTGTTTGGCCGCCTTGCCGGACTGCAGCATCTTGTACTGGGCTAAAAGTTGGGAGGCCAGATCCTTGTTCTCATCCGTAAACTTTCGAACGCGGTCCTGGGGTACCCAGTCGTCCCAGCTGCTTTTCCAGCCCTTGTAATGAATCTTGTACAGCCAGCCATCACCGTTCTCGGCGTCCATAACATCGAGGATTTTCGCTTCGTAGAGCATCTCCATATGAAAGCAGAGAACGCGCTCGTCCTTTTGGAATGGCGGAAGTTGCTGCTTCTGGGGAGCCATGGTGATGACGATGGTTGAGTGTTGGTGGTGAGAGTTTGTTGTGAGTTTTCGATTAGGTTTAGAGGAGAATGAGCAAGAAAGTGGCCAGAAACGATCAGAATGATCGAGAATCAATGTAGCTGCTGAAAGTAGGCAATGGAACACGGGAATTTGGCCGTGGTGTGGATATGGGAAGGCAGCCAAAGCGTTGAGCGTTGAGCTCCTTCCTAGTTATAGTTAACTTGATGATCAAGGTTGAAGAAACAGACGGAAGCGGCACCGGCACCAAATATTGAGATATCGGATCGGTTTCAAGTTTACACAATAGCGCCGTCACAAAGAATCAAGTAGATCTGCACTAAAGTTTGCTTGTTGTTGATGAGTTGCAAACGGATCTGGTGAAAAGAGTTGGTTGTGGGTGAGTGAGCAGGAAAGAAAAGACGTCACGTAGCTGTCGGCGATGAGCGGACGCGCACGGATCACACAGCTCAACGCGATGGCCCTCTCACCCGGACGCGCTGCCCCTGTTACTGCTTGCCGCCTTCCTCAACCAACAATTTCATGATTAGGGGAAACGCTTCACCAGATTATGCACCACATCCAATGTTATATGTCTGGCTTGAAGAAATGTGATTAGTTGCCTAAGGGACCTATTTTACACTCAATTTTGACAAGATGGCCCCGACAGAGCAAATTATCCTCCGCAACTACCTGCTCGTTCCAGCACAGCTCCCCGCCATCATCTCCTTGCAGGAATTCGTTGCCTTATTTCCGAGGCAGCTACAGTCATCTCCCAGAATTCGCACCCTCTATCGCGACTTACAGAGCCAGAGAAATGCAGTGGTGGATGATGTGGCCGGGCAGGTCGAGCAAGAGGCCAAGCATGGCAAGGCCATGCGGCGAGCGGTGATCAGGTCAAAGAGGGAGGCAGAGGAGCAAGAGCAAGACGAGGAGGTGGAGATTGAGAGGATGGTGAGTCTTGGCAGCGATTTGGTGCAGGTGGAAACATGTGTTGATTCATTTCGCAGCTGGGAAACTGGTCCGAGCCACGGCACGCAAAACACACGCTCGCCTCTATCCTTCCTGACATGGAGAGCGCCATCAGTGGGATCGAGGCCGAGCTGCAGCTCCTCGAAGAGGAAGAAGCCTCTCTCCTGACCTCTGTCCAGCAGACTCTCGGTGCCATGAGCGACTTGCGTTACGGCCGCCTGGCTAACAGCCAGCTGCCGGAACAGGTGCTCGACGGTTTAGGTAATCTGCAAGAAATCTGTAGGACAAAGAATTGACTTTATTCAAACGGTTATGTATGTATCCCGCGACCTGTCCCGGACTTGCAAAATAGTGAAATGGAAACCCGTCCATCCCTCCCAGCCCGCCATATCTACCCACCGAGACAACATGGAACGGCAGCCCACCCAATAATTATAGTACTATCATGGAAAAGGCCCTGCTCAAAGGACCGAGCAACCCGGTTCAGGTATCAAGCCGTTTAAGAGCGGCCGTCGCCGGGAGGGGCAGCGCGCGGTGCAGCGGCAGGAGCACCGGCAGCCGGCTGGCCACCACCCATACCATCCATACGGCGGTTCCTAAAAGCCTGTCAACATATTGCTATACACACAACGACGTCGAACCCAAAAAAACAACAACTCACATCATAGCCCTGCTAAGGAACGACACGATAAGCATCATGCCCCACGAGGGGATGGCGTTCAGTGCCCAGAGTACATAGCCTATGGGCACGGCCACGCCGAGCTTGGCGAACTTGCCCTCAAACGGGTGGAAGTAGCCGTCTTGGGCGACGACCTTCCAGCTGGTCTCGGACTCGCCGCGCTCCGTAGACGCGTACCCGTCGAGGACGTCCTGGGTGGTGACGGTCGTCAGGTTGAGGCGCTTGGTCAGGACCTCGATGGGGGCCGGGGCCGGGAGCATCTCAAAGAGCCACAGCCCGCCCGTGTTGGCCGCCCAGCTGTTGCACAGCACCGGCTGGTCTTCGCAGTTGAGGATCGCGAGGTGCGGTGACTGTTGTGATGCCGGCAGCGCCGCGAAGGGGAGGGCCGACTCGGTGAAGGCTGACTCGACTCTGCCGCATCGACCTGGAAAGAGAAACATGGACGGTTAGTTTAGCTTGCGGTAAATAGGGGGTAAAAACAGGAGAGGGGAGAACGCACCGAAGCATGTCTTGTTCCGCCCAGTCAGCAGCACTAGCCACTCCTCCGGGTTCGTCGCGTCGGGCTGGACGGGCTCGTACAACGTGTCCTTCCAGTTCTCAAGTGTGAGTGTTGAGATCTTCTTGGGTTCTACCACCTTCTTGGTCTTGGCCTTGCCCGTGGCGCTGGTGACGGCGGCTGCTGGCGCATCGGCCTTGTCGGCACTGGGAGCCGCCGCGCCAAAGTTGCTGAGGAAGTTTTGGAACTTGGCCTTGTACTGCTCGAATGGGCTCTCGGCGGCCGATGCAAGTACCGGCAGCGCCAGCAGGGCGGCTGTGGAGAAGCGCATTTTTGAGATGATAAACAGAAATTTGATGGAAGATGTATGGTGGAGGTTGCGTTGCGTTGGATGGGGAACCGAGGATTGGAGTTGGAGATTGGAGAAACGGGGAAGCAACGAAGCAACGTGAGGCAAGGTGTCGCCTATTGATTAGGATGATGTAAAGAGGGGTCTTAGCGCGGGTGCCTGAATAAGTGAACTTTCCAGCAGTTGAGGATATGTACAGATCTGTATGCAGACTTTCTCGTCGCAAGATCAGCGCACTGGAAGGGAAGAAAAGGGTTCACGAAGATTCTCCCTGAAATTATGTATTCCTCTCGATTGTAACCCTGGTGACTTAGCGTGGCTAGGTCCGTGTTCCCCTTGTTGACTTCGAGACCAGGGCTCTGGCGTCGCTCATTTGGGTTAGTAAAACGCTCGGGAGGACAAAAGTGGGGGGCTCTGGGGTACGGATAGTTCGACTTGTCGCGTCACACAAGCTTGCGAGATCAACGCGTTGCTGAACTCCAGCCAGCCACAGTGGGGACTCGATGATTGATGAACGAATGTGGCTCAACATCAACATCTCCTAGATTCCTTGCGAAACACCACCGATGGACTATTTTTTGGTGGTCGCCGTCTAGAATTTTGTTGATATGGTGGGTGAGAAATCACCAATTCATCAACAAAAATAAACTGACCATCATGAAGGCACCAAGCGAACCGAACCAAAAACGAAAACGCGGTCGACCCCCAGGAACCTCCAGCGCGTTAGCACGCGAACCGAGAGATGGTGTTATTGCGGAACCAGCCGACCACGGAAATGTTGCGAAATCCGAAGTTGTCCCAAAGAAACGAGGGCGTCCGCGCAAGAGTATCGATCCAGTAACCCAAGATGAACAAGACCCCGCACTCAACCAAGCCGACCCGGGCGAAACCTCAAACATGGCCCCAAAGAAGAGGGGACGGCCGCCGAAAGCTCGTGATCCTCAAGCGGAAGAAGAAATATCTCAAGAAACCCGGCCGCGCAAGCGGAGGCGGGCAGGCGAACTTGAGGAAAGAGAAGGAAGCCCGGGAGAGGGTGAGGGGAGTAAAAAGTCCAAGTCGGTGAAGGGTCCAACCGATGGGCCTCCACAGGTCGCCTGATCCGGAGGAGCAAACTACTCGAAAAGCCAACGACTCGTCGAGGGAGACGAAATCTCTCAATCCGACGACAGCCCTGCGAGATCGTCGCTGCTAGAGCCTGAAGTTGTAGAGGAGCGAACAGAGAGGACAAAGGGCCGACCAGGACGGAAGCCGACACGCCGGAATGAACAACGGGTGGAAGAAGACCGAACGGCAGAAGAAGATACCTCTGCCCGCCGAAGCCGAAGGGAGCGTCGATCCGCCGACGACGAGCAAGCGTCACCAGAGGCTGCCGGCGAGAATCAACAGCCTCCAGGCCCCAAAAGCGGAAGCGTGGCCGCCCGTCCCTGGCGGAGGTATCAGTTTCCAAAGCACAAACCGACCATCCCCTCTCGAGTAGACACCCAGAAAAGAAAGGGGACGCGGGCG